AAGAGCACGTACGACCATTGATAAAACGTGTTGCCCTAAAAAAACAAAATTCCGATTCATAAACCGAGGAATTATGCGACAAAACTAACTTTAAAGTTACGCGTGGACAATATTGCATGTAAATGTCGACAATAGTCGTATTGACGTCATCCCAAGGAGGAACACAATTTCAACCCAGCTTCCCCTTATCTAAATTGCACCACTTTCACGCAGTCCTGAACTAAAAGCTCTGAATATTTTGTCATAATCATACTGGAAAAGTGCGACCTGCTTTTGTCCTTTTCCACGATAGCGCAAAATGATAAATGTCGGGCAAGATTAAGGTGTCCAAACACGTGGTGGGTTATTTCACTAAAGACGTTTTGAAAAAAGCTCATAGACCTCTCAGTGAAATAATGGCAATTCATCCTCCCTGCAGTATTGGAAATAGCCGTGCTTTCTGTGCTTTAAACATCAGATTCACAGTAAACTTTGAACTATACTTTACATTGGACTTTGTTGTAAAACCATTATGCATGCACGCACCAATCGTTAAAAAACTTTGCGTGATAATATTTCACCTTATCTGGCGACATTGTTCTTTTGATAAACACTTCAAAAGTCGTTAGAAAACGCCATAGTCTCTAATTTGAGTTCCCTCGCTCTCTCTGAAGCACCAAAGGGCACTGCTCTATAACTACACAGCAAGACCACAGAGGTAGGAGATTAACTCGTTAGCGTACCACAGCGTACACAAAGGGAGTGTCAGCTGTTCTAATCTGCGAAAACTAAGGGACAACCCAATCTGACGAGTAATTTTAAAGCTGCAATACATCAAGTCATTGAGAAATACATGTAAATCTGCGAATCCTTGAAGTCAAAATGGACAGGGGTTTGCTTCAAGCTGCACGAGCCGCTACAGCAGGGGATATAATGCCATTTGAACTCCCTGATATTTGGTTATCAGACTGTAGACTCGTTAAAAAAGTGGCATTCGCAGATGACAAGCAACGCGAACCTTTTCCATTACGGCAACAAAAATCAAGGTCATCATCTAGGTCTGAAACCAGGAAGATTACATTGGATCATGGACCGTTACTCACGCCTCACGAGACCTCAACAACACCTCCGAAATCCCTAGACATTGAAGTACCATCAACGCCTCATCTCAAGTCTCGCGGGGAAACCTCTGGTTCGTCTCTGAAGGATGAGTTAATGAGCCGTCGATACTCCAGCCCCAATCCTCTACCTTTGACAGACAACAAATTATCTTTGAAGAAATCTCTGTCGCTACCGCCATCACCTCTCATGACACGACGTAGAGGATATCGGGCTAATAGTGCGTCTAGAGACGTTCGAGCCGCGATGAGGCCGAATAGTGACACCACAAACTCCTTCAGTAAAAGCCGCTCTCAAGCAGACAACACAAGACTCTCCACATCTTACTCTAAACCATCAGTCGGACCCCAGTCGATCTTTAACGACCCCGAAATAAATCCTATCCTTATCTCACCAGAGCAAATTCCTATGACTCCGAGTAACATGCATATGCGACACACAGGATTCGAACTTCGACACCGTGTTATGCGAAGAGCCTTCCGGTTGAGTGACTTGTCCGGAAGTGGGTCTTCAGATGACCAGCACACCGTAGACGTTTCATCAACATCCGAAGGCGCCGGAATCAACAAGGATCAGCGCGAAGAAACAACGAGAGCCCTTCAAAATAGAGCGGAGACTGACGGGGGTCTTGAACAACAATTTAAAGTTCTTCAGCACTGTAGATACTTAAGATATCCAGTTGGTGATCTCCCATAAGGTAAAAGTCTGCCTTTGTGAATTGACAGTAATAACAAAAGACAAGATGCTGGACTTCAGTAAAATGTCCAATCACAATGCAAAAAGCAAAATTGAATTTTAGAACAATTCGAATATAACTAACACACATTGTACTTGACCCTCAACGTGTGTAGCAATTACAAAACAGGCTCTGTTATTTACATTATGTACTGCATTCACCATACTTTATCTTAGGGCCAAAGACAGATTCTCTTCATAGTACTCATGGCACATATTATGAACTAATAGTATTATCAACAACCTGCACTATATCAGGTGAATAGATTATCTCTTCAGTATGTTTGTAATACAAAGCACCTACATTGTTACAGCTCAACCTAATCCAGGTATCAAATCAGTCATTAACTTATGAGGATGGAAATACTGCTAGAAATCAAGAACAGATTTAAATTAGGTTGTCGTTTTTCCTGTGGATGATAGTTGTGCTTCCAATTCTTGTAAGAGTGAGCAATAGCCAACATCCCGGTGAGATTTTGCTATATTGTTTTTGCAATTACAGAGGGCGCTCTAAATTCATAAAATACCGCCACACGTTACCCTACAGAAGTCGTCCATCCAGGCCAGCCAGTGACTCATCTATTTCACTTTGGGGTACAGTCCACTAATTCAAGCCCCATTGAAAACAATTCAAAATCAGCACTGATCAGGGCCCAATAACATGCACACCAACATCCCTCAGATATCTGAAACGAAAATTAAACTAATGTCTGGTCCCTAATCTTTCAATTTCCTTTCAATTTTTTTGTGGCTTAACAATTACATTTTTAATTATCCCCCCCCCCCACAGTGATTTTTCCTGAAGACTGCTTGCAGCCATTTTTTAAGTGACAACTCTCAAATTTCTCTAAAACTAGTCTGCTTTCAGATGAAAGCCCAAAGACCCAGAGAGGTGATTCTAACAAAGATGTACACAATCTCACCATTCTTCATCTTTCAAAAGATACTGTGGGGACACTTTTAATACTAATGAGCTGGCCAGCAATTTTCACTGGAATTAGTAGACTGCATCCTTAGACTTCTCACCGAGGCCATCACAGCGCCCTCATGCTTTCTGGAAAAGGCACATCAAGATGCTGAGGGCGCCCTTTTGATCAGACGGTGGCTTTCATTGAGGTTAGGCTGAGTTCGGGCGTCTTATTCTCGTATGTTCACCAGCAACTCAATTTCAACGGTTGCTCGTGGGTCGGCCGCTCGAACGCCAGGAACAAACAACCGGTTATGCCTAGTAGTTAGTGGCAAGCAGCATGCAACACGGCCGTGTCCTTGTACGTTATTCGAGAGTTTATGTTTGGATGGGCTGAATTCTTTTCTATTTAACAGGAACGTTCATTTCTGTGTTATGGAAAATAATCAATATTAATTTTGCAAAACTTCCCATTATCTCTGGCTTTGGAAGCCATCTCTCTACTTTTTGCAGTTCAAAAATCAAACTCTCACGAGTTTTCCCGTGTGTTCCTCGTGCAACCTTGACAAGGAGGTGGTGTGTGATCCTGCTCCGAGAACAGTGTTCCGAGTCGTGCTCCCACCGCGAGAAAATGAAACCTGTGTCAAGAACAGGGCGCCCGAACTCAACCTCCAAGACCACGTTCAATGTGTAAAAGAAACGCCAGGTTTTGGTTGGTTTGACCCCGTTAAATAGAGGGTCCCTGGTTTGACCCCAAACGCAATACCTAAGTATTCTGTAAATTGCAAAAAAAGGTAGCTTGTAACCCAAAGTGTCCACGCACAGCAAATATCGTAGAAGGGTTAGGATTATATCTTTCCCCCACACTTTTTGGCAACAAGGACTCTTACAAAGAGCAAGAGAGAGAAAGAGAGACGGAACAAGAAAAAAATCGAAAGGGGGGACCGGAAGGCAATCTGTAGAAGTACAATCTTTGCAAATTTTCTGGTAGATTTGTTGGAGTAAAAGAGGGTTAAAAGGAGACTTTGTCCATATACAAGTTTTAAACCGATGGTTAAGGTAACCACAACAGTTTTGCAGTGGAGCCATGGATTTTAAAAGTTGCAGTTTCTCTAAAAATAGGTGAGTTGGACATAACCTAGTGATGAAAGTACAAATGATAGTATATGAGGGAAAATTGCCTGGTCAATGTAGGACTTCTACGCACCATCTGGTAAAACAATGGCAAGCAAAACTAGATATCGCAGGTTGTATTTGTCATATCATAGAGAAAGGACACAGATCCACAGTCCGGGAGCCAAACGTTATAAATAGCTTGTTCATCCACCTTGGGCAATGAAGGTCATGGTAAAATCTGGTGGAAATTTTACACCATCGGTCATCAAACCCACAATGTCAAACTCCTGTGGGGCGGCAGATGGAACCCCGGATAACGCCGGGTCGTAAATATAATATTGATGCATTGCGCCCTCTTTCGGGGTCAAAAAGTCCCACTGGAACAGCTGTTTATTTTTCCTTTATGGAATGTAAAGTTTTCACTCTCTCAAGGAGAATATCTGGACCTCGGGTCACACTGAAAAAAAGTGTTTTATCATGGATTTGGCAGGTTAACAGCCTAGCCTAAGAGTTTACCACAGTTCAAATTGCCACATTTAACTTTCAATGTGATGAAATCTACAGTACTGTAGAATAGGCTTGCGGTCATTGAATTTTCTTAAGTCGTCTCCAAGACTCAATGCGCATTAAACTACGCTGTGTCGTCACCCTATTCAGAAAAGCATCGAATATTCTTTTGTACTGTTAACTTCTTATTCTTTTCACGGTAGAGTATATTTTTCATGTTGCAGTTGTGACATTGAATTAATATAACACCAAACACAGTAACAAACGCTCTGAATAGTAAACACCGTTTTAGGCCTAAGCGATTTGCTGCGCTTGCATTTTCTGTTTAATGTTCAAAGGCGATTACAGATTTTCAGTTAAAGTGAAATACTCCTTTCATTTCACTTATAACATCTCTCCATGTGTCTTGTTCGTATTTATACGATACTCCTACCATTTTATTTCTGTTATCATTTTTCGTCATTTTTACTTATTTTTATATATCGTAATTATTCGTGTAATTTTTGCTACTTGTATTAATGTGTTTTCTCTTTAAAATTCGTATTTAGCCAATTCACTTTCAGTTAAACCTCTGCTTTACAAGGATGACAAATTAATGCACAATTTAAAAGAGCAGATTAATCGTTTAAAAACTTACCTGTCAATACTTCCCAGATGATACTCCAAATGCATAAAGTTTCCCCACGAAATAATTTCTCACAGTCACCGACGGATTCGACGAGTAAGCAAATTCATTTAGTTCCAAGTCTGTAAACTTGGTCTTCATTTGAAGTGACAGTGAACTGTGGATCCCAAATTGGCAACTCGCTAAACTTGCTTGATGAAGGTGTTAAAAGTCTCCAACTCCATTCCGTCATAGGCCCCTTTCGACAGCATTTCACATCTTCAATCTCACATTTCCGAAGCTAACTTCTACATCATCCATACCCGCGATCCACGGATCGTACCGATTGCACGTCTGTGTACTGTGTGTGACTTGATACATAAGAATGACAAAATGCGTGTAGTTTAAGGCGGCAGTCCACCCAGCCATAGAGTAGCGCGATAAGGTTTGGGCCCGGAGGAAAGCTTTTGTGTATATATGCAAATGTACATCGCTGGCCAACGCTGGATAATGGACTGAATAAGCCTTTTGCGAGCTAAATTTGAATATCTGGTACACCGAGTTATCTCATTCCACATGAACATTGAATTACCCCAACTAAAGACGCTGTTGCTAAACCTCGTGATTCAGTGCACGCTTTTACATAGCGACCACCATCTCTGGAATGGACTAGTTCCTTTGTGCCCTTCTGCTCCATTGAAAGCAGTGTATTGTTGCAAGGAGTCTCTTATGTAGCTAAGTAAAAGCTTGACGCGAATACATGTAATCAGGTTTAGTAACAGTGTCCTTAGTATGGAAAATTTAAATTGTTATGATCAAGGGAACTAGGTATACCTGAGTTTATTTAAGGAAAAACATGCGTTTGGCCAGTCTTAAACGCGCGTTAAGACCGGCTGAGGAGAGTGGATGCGACTACATAATTATTCCCATTTTCCTTTTTTTAAGTCCAAGAATCAAAAGAAGTAAATATCTGATAGATTTCCAACGATTTTATTATAGAATTTTACTTTCATTTTCCCGAACACCTCCGTCCATTGCATGGTATATTCCTAGTGCAAGCTGTCCAGAAGAATGGACTTCGCGCGCGTGGCGCGTTCTGCGTGCCGCGTCGCACTGTTTCGTATCCAGGGGGGCAGGGCGTTTTTTTACGCAGCGGGCATTATTTTATACATATGGACTGTGGCAATGAGGTCACTACTGCACGTCTAAGTCCCCGAGGGACAGTAAATGACGAGAAAAGGGTCCAATATTTCCCAAGGCCAAAGGACCCTGTTCTCGTCACTCACAGACCCGACTCAAAGCTAAAGGTGGAGATTCTTTGATTCGAATGGCCAGCCGTCCTCGCCCATTCAATTAAAAGAATCCCCCCGCTAGCGTTGTTTTTCCTTAAACAAGTAAATTCACTGACAAATTGCTTCGTTTTAAACCAATTTGAGACATATTGTGGAATTTACTGGAAGCAATGCGTGGTTTCTGAACACGGAGAAATCTTTGATTCGTTTTGGGAATAGGCTTTGCTTTAAAACAGACGACAAATATTTTAAGTTCATACCATAATTAAGGCCTATAAGACACAAATTTTAGAAGACACTTACTAAAACTGCGCACAGAAGTAAAACTTTTGCAAAAGTAGACCTGACCAAGAAAACCTTAGAAATCACAGCTGCAGAAAAAATCCGCTCGCACTTTTCCTCGAATCGCTACCAAGAACCGGATGCTGAATTCCTATCAAATATGATTTACATGATAAACAAGATCCGAAGCTTGGGCCCGAAATAGTACATTGATCAACGAACTCTCGGTGGGGCGGTCCAGGGGTGACTTCTATAACCAACTGCGCATGCGTGTGCGTGGTTCTTTTCACAAGTTCAATAAATATAAGCAAACAGACCCAGAGAAATACGAGAGGGGAACAGACACAGTGGGGTGAGTGGGATTTGTCTGTATCGATGGTGATTGTAGTCCTTCTCAATACTAACGTGTGGTTGACTGCAAACTTTTTGCGCGGATCCATTAAATCGACCAGTAACTACTGCAGCACCTCATTCAGCGTGTGCATCCCGGCGTGTCCAGCATAATTGGGACACTGGTGACCGTGTATTGGGGAACCTTATCAGCGATCGAATTTTTAAGCAAGGACGTTAATCCCATTTACAGATCTTGTAAGTTGTATGGTTTAGCCAGGACGTCGATAACACTACATGTAATGTCAACTTCACGGGAGAACCTCATCAGAGTAGCTTAATAGCGCAATCGAACCAGAAGGACTACATTGGTCTAAAACTAATTGATGCCCAAAGACAGAAACGAAGGGAGACCGTGTATATATTGATACTACATGTAGCTTATTATACATGTAGGCAGTGAAAACCCTGCCATGAGAGGGATGGCGAGAAGGGTACTAGTTTAGTTACCTGCTGTGAGCTGCTCTGATGTGGTTTGTAAGTGATCCCTCAATTCACTGTAAGTACAACACCATCCGTGTTTACCTACCGTCGTGTGAGACAGTCAACATTTTCCTCGTACGCAGGAAGCAGTACAATCCGTGTGATCGGGGTAAGACGTGTTCCCTACAGTGAGTGCTCTATGTTGAGAAAGATCACTCAACTACTTGTGGTAAAGTGAAAGCGACAGCTCTCCCGTTATCAACAACAAGCAGGTGGTACCAACACATCATATCGACCCAAGGAATGACTACAATTCCCTTCAGACTTGCTGCAACCCATCTTAATTTAAAGGTTTGTCAACTTTTCGCGTAATCCGATCATAACCCTGTTATTGATAATCATAATCTGCGCCAACTCCAGAACTATTTGACCGAAGTGGAGTCTCTATAATTCATGTATCTACGTTTTGAACCCATGAATGCCTTGATTACTTCACCATTCTACGACCCACAGGAGTCATACTTGGCCGCATTTTCTTGACACCGAGACCAAAGGACAGAGGAGCATTGTACTTCATGGTCCAATTACACGAATAGGATCAGCACGGTGCTTTATTAATGGCTATTCTGTAATTGACTGGGTCCCCTTCCATTGTGACGTGCTGCACCTCAGTATACGACGCTTCATTGCAACACACCGGTGTTTACAGACTTGATGAAAGAGTATCAAGACATCATTATACCAATAGACATGTCCACCCTCTCTGTCAAAGCAAAGCATGGATCGGACCCTCCACCGAACATGTCGCCCTCTGTGCGACATAAAGTGCATGCACCTTCCATGGAGATGACACGAGCCAAAGCCATCAACAATATCGAGGAGCAACAGTTGACGAAGAAACTCCGAGACCTGGAGAAGCAGCAGAGTAAGATGCAGTCAGAAATACTGAATCTCAGAGCTGCCCTTCTACCAGAGATTAAAGTGACATCGGCATGGGAAGACAATACACCGAGCGGTTCGTCCATCGTAACCAACCCAGATACTGATCAGCAAATACACTCCGATCCTCCAGGCTTAAGCTCCATGGACAATAAGGAGTTGCCTAGAGAGAGGAAGCGTAGTGGATCACTTCCACCACTTGCCATCCGTAAAGAGATTGAACAACAGAGACAACGAACGTCTTCAGAATCAGCTGGTACTGGGACTTTATTTGCCCCCACTCCGCCGTCCAACACTAGCGGTATTCGGCGGGCCAGGTCCATGAACGAAATAAACGGACGACCACGCCCAAGACCGCAATCAGCTCATACCTCGGCTACTACAGCCGGCAAGCAAGGTAGACGCGGGAGCATACCGAGAACACAGAGTCTCAACTCATCCACAGAGAGTTTACCTTCAGATCCATCAAAGACCATATCGTCACCAAATAAGACCAGCCCTGCTGGGTCTACAGAGGACATAACCAGACCACGAGCGCAGACCCTCCTCCCTCTAAGGAAATCCAAGAGTACTTCCAATATCAACAACGAAGTTCGTACTCGTCGTGTCACCGTAGATACGGCGGATCTCACAAGACTGGATAAAAACAGTATCTTCAAAAATCCATCCTACAATCCCGTTCTTTTGAACCCATCCCAACAGCGTGCAGCCAACAGTGTGACCCATCGTAGAAGGGCAACATGCCCTGTTCGATTGAGTCATCTCAGCCCGGATGGTATCATGCCCTCACCGCCCGGAAAATCTACCCCGTCTCTGCAAGACCAATTTGAGCAGCTCAAGGCCTGCAGGTATCTGCGTGTTCCGTCTGAAGAAACGGACTAAGAAAAAATTATATGGTCACGTAAAAAAATTCACTGAGGACTGTCACTTGGACACTGAGTCAGCAACAAGGAAAATAACCTACCACAAACGAAAAAAATGGAAAGACTTCTCCGTTGTCATAACTGCCAAGTAAAAATACGTACACTGTGGTTGCTGAAAGACTAAGGTTATATTACAACCATATTATGTATATTTCAATTTGAAAATAACCCCTGACATTTTACCAATATTTTATACAATGTAGCTATATTTTGAGCTTCATAATTAAAACATTCGCGAATATTTTATCCAGCCCCTTGGCTTTTGGTAATTAGGGGGAGAAATGCATGATTCTTTTCTTCCAAACATGTTGAAACTAGAGAGCTGCTCTGAAAGTGACGTAAACATCTTCGGCGAAGTGTTTCTTTTAATGACAACCATTATAATATACCGCTCAAAAGTGACATCAAACCAGTCCTAAACATTCGCATTAAGTGTCTAAACTATTATAATTTGAACAAGAGATGTGTATGCCGATTTGTATATCTGCTGAATCTGAAAGTAGAGCTGTACATTTTGCTATTTCACTGAAGTGCGTTAAAAGTCTCATATACGAGAGAGGCATCGTAAGTGCAGATGCACTTGTGTTCTTACCTATTACGGAGAGCCAGTTTTTTTTCTAAATGCATGTAATTACTTTATGCAAGCTTTTATGTTAATCAATTAAGTAAGGTGACTTCAAACACGATGCTGTTTTAAATAAGAAAGAATGTTGACTGTGATGTGAAAGTTCCAGTATCTGACACGGCGACAGGTTTATTTAACTTGCCCCCTTACGTACAGTACTGTACATGTTGACAATTCCATGCAGTTTCAGAGTCGTAAAACTGAAGACATTCCTTTTTTTAGAACATTTCTAAAGCTAAGTTAAAGAAGGTGAAAGATCTTTCTTCTGTACTTGACTGTAGGGGCAGCTTAAAACTAAAAATAACTGTTTTGTACTGCAAAACCATCCGAATTCTCAAGTGTTTCACTGGACTAAAATAACCTCTTTTTTTCTAGAAAATCGACCATCAGAAACTGTTGACTATAAGAAATGTCATGATTTACGAGCCTAGGGTCAAAGCGCTCCCAGGACCAGTCCTACGCATACCTGTCAATGATATATCGGAGAGAAAAACGAAGCAGTTTCCTTCGTCATGTGCCTGTGCCTTTGCCCATGGAAGAAAATGGATTTGATTTGAAAAAAAAGATGATTCTTTAGAATTTCTCGGTAGTGTTTAGAGGGGCAAGTACTCTTTCCTTTTAAATCAACAAGGAAAATGTTAGGGCTTTAATGTTGAACAAATAAACGGACTAGTCTGGTGTCATTCCAGAATTATTTGTTTAAATGCAACAGTGATATATAATGACGGAACAAAATAATTTCCCATATATTTGCTATCAAATTTTTGATCGACAAATTGTACTAGTACTCTATTAAAGGTCTCTCTGAATCCATTTACTTTGATTTTGTTTTTGGTTTTTTTTTCCAAGGGTGTGGGTTCGCTTTTGGTTTCCGTGAATTTACTTTTGGAGTTTTCCTGTAGGATTACAACTACACTTGAACATGCCCGCCAATGTCACAAGAACGCTATCGGTCTTTGTATAAAAGTGTAGTGTTCTGTTTCGTTACTTTACGACAAAGTTTTACAGTCCGGACCAAGGGAACGATCAGGAGAGTTTAGTTACTCCCTATTCCTGAAAAAACTAACCCCTTTCCGACCCTGAAAATCGACCACAGGCTCAACACATGCACCTACATTTGTCTCTCCTCTATCAAACTTCCAAACATGTTCTGCTGCCGATATTTTAAAATTCACACCCTATAGGACAGTTTTATTCAGTAGCACTCGTGTAAGCCTTTTGGTATTGATCATAATATCCATACTTCATGACGCACCTGTGGATCGTAACCTCCGCTATATTGATGTTTCTCGGACACCCACTGCTACTCTAAGTGACTACACGTGCAGTCATTCACGTACATGGCTTGCTATGCAGTAACCGCTGTTTGGTGAATTGATTTTATTTCAAAACTTTCCCGTGAAAATCACAAAATCCAACACATGTAATAAAAAGACTGGAAGATCCAGGAAAATCATTTTCACAACGACCATACAGAGTTTCATCACGATTATACGGCTGTCCTCGCTTTACAACTTAGTCTCACTTCAATCTACACGTATATAGTGCATTTCAAATACAGACTCCAGCCTGTACAGTTGTAGCTTTGAGGCAAACCTCACCCAGTTCCCACTCAATGCACCACTCGCCCCTTCCTGCATCCAACCTCCGTTGATTACCACCTGTACAGCAGATTACTGTTAGTTGTTCATCAAAAAGGCTTATGTATACTGCCCTCAATGGGGGTTAATACAGACATGCCAGCTTTATGATCTACTACGATGCAAGCATTATGCACTGGGCTGTAACGATGAAGCATGTGTTATGGGTGTTGGAAGCACGATTTTGTAATACATCACGATATTGCTTTATGCATGAAAAAAATCTCGGCTCTGTTCAGGAAGGGAAGCCATCCATCAAACTGAAATCTAATTACATTGGCGACGCCAACGCAATTGCACACTAAACACACGAGGTTAATTCAACGCCGTGACAAACAAATCTAACAAACCTACAACACTTGCATTAAACCATTACATGTACATGTATACTACGAAATACACGTCAGTCGGCCGATTGGGTGAATTGTTTTGAGCAAACAAGTAGCCCATCTGACTAAATCCACCATTTTGTCATAATTGGACGAGAATTCGGAGTCCATTATCTAGGTTTGATGCTCAAAGTTACTTTCATGCTGGATTACCATGAGTTACCAAATACAGAATGAAAAATAAGGGGCCCTTAACCAATACCTATAATTAACGATATGTGACAGCAATGTACGACAACTCTCAACACAGCAATCATTATCATTCTCCTGATGTATCATGTGGAATGTAGATTGGCCCACACAGAGCGAACTTCCACAACTGTTATGGTCGTGTCCCATAGCTAGCTTTCACTTGGCAGACAAAGTCCCTGGTCGGCCGCTATTGCCCTACTCAGTTTCAGGGCGACATGGGATCTTCCGGTCGGCATCAATATGTGGCCAAGGGAGTGACGTCGCTGTAGAAGGTGGCATAGATATCCGTGTTTGGCTTTTGTTTTTCTGCTAATTCGCTGAAGTAGCAATGCAGAAACTAGCAATCATTTTTACACAGAAAACGACACACTGACATTTCCCTCTATTATTTAGGGGATTTCGGACAATTCCCCTTTTCCACAGGCATCACGAGATAGCCTGATATTTCAGCGAATACTGAGAATCCTACAGCAGGATATGTGTTGTTGCAAGCAGAATTCCCACGGATGAGTTCCTCCAATGTTTGCACTCCACACAGAGCAACTACCGATACGTGTACGTCATACGTGCCACTTAACACACCGCTGTCATCAGAGCGTAAAGAACAACCATTCATTTTTCTGAAGCACCCAAACCATACAAAATATTTACAAGGTCATTTTTGTCGAGGTAATCAAATAAGGTGACCCGACAAGGAAATTTACTATGTTATCAAAACAGCGTGACTCAAAGGTGAGGTCTCATCAGAGTACCTTCAAACTGGAGTAAAGAACAGTCGCGTAACTAAATTACCGAGAAAATAAACGACGAAAAAAGGTTCCATAGGTGGTAAAAACAATGAACATGAAGTACATTATGCGATAACAGAACAAATAAATGAACAGATAGGCAGTAAATACTATATATTATCATTCTTACGTCAGCATTACTTGCATCCCTTTTCAAATTCCTAATAAACTGTCCCAATTAAACAAAGCTCAAGTACTGCTCATTCGGGTTTCAAAGGATACAAATTGACCTCACATGGCTCCAGTATAATGCCAAAAAATTAGGTTTTATTTCATTCAGGAAACTCAGCAGGATAGCAGCAACGTTCATTTCAGAGTGGAACCTTCCAAGAACATGTGCTCTTGAAAAAAGTCACGAATGGTCTACATTATTGCAACACTTCTACGAAAAGACCAATTGTAGACAGATTTCCCATTTGGGGATAAACACACATGTGGTTGTATTCAAGCCTAGTTTGGAACAGACTGATTGACCAAGTTTCCTTCAATAAAAGCCAGGGTGTCTGCAAAGTGTCTGAGCACTAAAAAGTGTAATAGAATGACATCTTTTGGTTTCCTGACACCCCCATGGGAAATAGACATCTGAAAGTCATGTTTCCATGAATAAAATTTAACTTCTACCTAAATGCAATTATGAATTTAAATGTTTCCTAAGAATGGTGAAATAACAACACTGTTTTAACATGGAACAACTTTTTCTTTCCATGTGATATGTTTTGATGGCATATCTCATGCTGCTTTTTGAATATCTACAACCGTCTGTCCATCAAGCACTGGGTCTATTCCTGTGATGGCTTTCAATTTTCCAGGATAAATAACTACTGAAATTCCAACTTAAAAAACACAATTTCAGCTTAACCTTTTTCGGGAATACTGAGCAGTTGCTACTGTTTCATGCAGGTTGTTTTCCAGATATAACTCACATATGCCATGAATATACTTCTGGTTCAGAAAAGGGAAATTAAAAAGCTGCAAATCACATCCACTCAAGAAGCTACACTTTATGTCAAGAAAGTTGAATGTGAAAAGACAAACTGTTTCATGCTTATCCTATCCAGAGCAGGTGGGAGGATACACTGACAACAACATTATTTGTGACTGCAGCTGTTGACTTTATCAGGTCAACAACCGATCCAATACAGTTGTTGACCTAAATGAATCTGTTGACCTAAGAGCCTCGGAAGGCAAGTGCATGCTTCACTGGGGGTGAGCAAATCCAGAAATATGAAAATCATGCGCAAATACTCCACCCCAACCCCCAAATTAAACAGTGTTTTGTGGGTATCATTATGGATAATTTGACTATTCAGACACAATTTTAATCTTAACATTTGAATAATTTGCAGAGTCATTACTGCAGGTCAAACTTTGTGTTATTCCTGAATCACCAGCCTTGTGTTTAATACAAAGTAGTTTGTAAAAATCTAGAATGTGACAAATACCTAGAAATATTTTTGAAGAGGTTCGCCAAGAGTCTTCTCAAGTTCACTGACAAGAAGCTGACATTGTTGCTCAACCTCAACTGATTCGTCTAAATAAAAATGAAAAGGATTCTTGAAATCACAAATAAGTCAAGAGGGAGTATGATTAGCATGATTAGATCATCCTGGAATTGTCTTTTCTTTCACAGCCCAGTTCAATGGAATTTGTCATTTTTTTCTTAATATCAATTGGGTTTGGGGTTGCTGATGCTTTCGTATTTCCTAATGACAAGTATGTATTCTTCTCCTTTTTCCCTATGACATTACCCTTACCTTCCATCAGTTCAGCCAGGAATGGAATAGTCTCAGGAAGTAGGGACAGATAATCCTCAGCCAGTTTCCTATGCAGCTCTTGGAGAACAGTCAAGGCTGCAAATCGCACCTGTAACGCCAAAAATCGAACAGTTCAAAAGGTAAAAATCTGTTGTGTAAAGTTTTACAATCATTATCATCAACCCCTGCACTAAACCAGTTCACCGTTAACCAACCTTTGCAGAAGAGTGTCTAGTCTTCAATAGCACCTGGTAGTTAAGTGGTTGCCATGTCGATGACTCATGTGATGCCACCAAGAACTGAGCAATACATGGAGTAAGGTGATTGCTTACTCTGTCCTGGTAGTCTGTGTCGGTACCCTGCATGTTTTCAATCTATTACAAGTACAAACAAGAGGATGATATCGTGTAGACTGAGCAAGGCTTGCCAAACGATTTTCATTGAATCTCACAAATAATATTTATTGCTGTTTGTTTTCAGACGTAAGCGACAAAACTTCTTCAAGTATTCAAGTCATTCTGAAGGTCCTGAAAATAAGTTACGTGATCATTATCATGAAATTTATTTCAATAATTAATTCTATCTTATTTTTTTTGGCTAAGAGTGGGTTCTATACTAAACAAGACACCTACTCCACTTTCTTCTCTCTACCCTGGAGTAAAGACCACCTTTGAGAGCGAATAATGCATAACCCCCTCATCAGTTTTCAAAGACTTCTAAGGTTTTGTGGGTGGGAGCAGTAGTAGTGGTTTTTCATTTATCTTATTTACCTGATCAACAAGTGGTTGCATGAGCCTCTGAAAGCGTTCCTTGGAGACAAATCCTCCTTTGTCATACATGAAGCACTTATGGAGGCAGTCCAAGAGATAAACAAGAAGCAATGTTGACTTCTCTTCACTATGGACAACACCTTCAAAGAACAGCTTGTCTGCGGATGAAAATATATCAAGCACATGTATGAAAATATCAACTCCAAAGTCAAGTGGGACACATCTGACTTATTTCTATAGTGACGCAATCAATTACCTGTTTTGGAGGTATTATTGATGTCCAGAAGATCTGCAGCTTTGGCCGCTAGGTGACCAGCAAACAGGGTGAAGAGGCTCTTGAGTTTGTTAGCAATGGCATCAGAAAGACGATACAAAGTCAACAAACGCTCCTTAGGGGCACTGCCGCGAGTTGCCCAATCAATGACCTAAATCATTAATAAAAGGGAAAACAAAGATTAAACCATTACCACGGTCATCAGCTGCAATCCTCTCATCTTTTGAAGGAACAATTTGAACGAAAGCTTTCCTTAATATGCAAGACTTTTTGAAGAAAACGCAGTCGAAATATGTATTACTGTAATTCTCCAGAACTATACTGTCCGTTTTCAATTCAACAATCAGATTTTGACAAAGAACTTAAAGAAGATCTGACGGCTTTTATACCTTGATGAACATTGGTCTGAAACTTCCTTCTGTCATTTTCATTACAAGCGTCAGCATTCCATTAATGGTGTGACCTTCCACTCCTTCAACCTCAGGTAAGCTTTTCTGCAACAAACACAAATGATACAAACCAATCTCAAGAGATTGCTACCTGTGATTAAACTTAATATGACAATAAACAGTGGAAGACTGCTATTGCAATCCATGATCATGAAAGACGCAACCTCATTAGGCTCCTGCATGTCTTGGCCAAGATGCACCCACAGAAATCAAGAGGCAAAAAAAGCTACAGACCCCATGCGCTGTACAGATATTCAAATCGACCCAAAGCAAACAACCACTACAACTATCCTGCAGCTTGTTGCCAAATGTTCTACGGCTCAAATACATAACTGATAAAGGCTGGATCATGTAACAAGGTGGAACCATTAATGAGACTTACATCTGCATATTTTGCTCTGTAGTCCAATGCAACAAGGAAGAAAGCAACAATCTGTGGCTGGTACCCTGCCATATCAATCTTGTCCATAGCACTCAGATGATCTGACAAAATCCCCATCAGGGGGCCAATACTATCCTATGTATTAGACAGACCAAATGAAATAATCTTTACAGTTATATTTCTATAACCTGACGCTAAAAAAGGAAAACACGTACAATGTTAGAAAAAGCAAGCTGAAGTGTCTTAACTGCATAAAATCAGACTATGGAATCAGAAGGTTGTGACACCATCTGATCATAATCTCACCTGGTGAGAATCGACCAGTCTGTCATAGACTTGACTGAATACAGGCAGTAAGACCCTAACCGCTACTGTGCTTGCCAGGTTGTGGCCTAGCGCCTTCAATCTTAGGTTAAGCTGGGACTTTTCATCCTCGGCATTGCAGGAAAGACGGCAAATCTAGAAAACAGAAAAATTTCACCTCATCAAATAATTTGAAAATTAAACAAATATAGCTCTTTCATAAATAGTGTAATTTTAAATCCAAGGAAATATTTGGTTGATTTAGAAGATTTCATTCATCCTAGAAGGAAAGATGTACCTGAAAGAGCAGATCAACAAGATAGGGGCTCTGGAAGTGAGGCAGTGTCTCAACCACTTTCTGAACTGCAGTCACAGCACTCAAGAGAAGGAAATCAGAACTGTGAATCCCAAGGAGGAAAAACATGACAAAACACACAACCATAAACAAAATAATAACATGACATCATGTTTTGATTAACTCAACTTTGAAAATCATTTAAATCATCCCAATTGCAGCCCAAGATGTGAAAAGCAGAGCAAGTTTAAACCTGACAGCCAAGCACAAAAAGATACCAAATTATGCAGGTGCCAAAACTCCAAACCACTTATTCAGAAGTAAGGAGAGGTCACGATTTGGTCCTTAGAGAAAATTACCTGACAACTGTTTCCTTGATTGCTAAAACTTCCAGAAGACGTGGCATGAGATGAGGAAGGTAACGAATGGAGTGTGCTCTCAATGTGCGCACGCACTCTGCCAGGCAAAGTACTGCACTTCCTTGCACCTGAAGCAGAACATAAGGGAGACTTTTAGTGAACATAAAACTAACTAACCAACTTTAATTTGGCCTAATTTACAACAATTTACAACTTGTGGAAAACTGAAAATAAAAAGTGTTTGAAAGTATTTTAATTCAGAATAAATTCTGGAACAGCTTTGGTTGAAAATGACAATATTGAGGACTGATAAATATTTTTTCAGACAATTAGCAGAGTATGAATTTTCTCCAACCTAACCTGTGTATTCACTCCTTCTTCTTCACATATTGTGACAGATGATTCCAATACTGGTCCAAATTCTCTAACATGGTTCTCTCCCAGAAGTGTACAGAGAAGTTTCAAACTATAGAGGGCAGTATGACGATTCACATTAACCTCATCAGGGGCCATGGCTTGATCCTTGGTTGCCATGGCAATAATCAGGAGACCTGAGATTAACCCCAACAGACTTTCACTCTATTGAGAGACAAATGTTAACAACCACTGGTCAAAAAAACGACATCAACTCACTTATTGCTCTGATATTTATTTTTACAGAAAGAAAACTTGAAAACCATTTTAACTGCAAAATCAAAGTTTTAAATACTGACCTGTTCCTCGCCGAAGTAGTCTTGATGCTGAAGAAGTTTGTTGTTAAGCAATTCCATGGCCTTACGCCTGACAGCTGCTAACTTGTTGCCAAGGAGATGGCTGATGACATCGATAAAGATATGTACAGGTAACAGTGCATTGACCTAGAACAGGATGCCACACAGCCAAAGAAACCTATTACACACTTCTGATTTTTCACACTTCTTGTCAACATTCTTTAACCCTTTGCATGCTATCAACGCATATTTGCGCCCGCTCTCCATATTCCCACACTGCTAAGGGTGCATATTTGCACCACATACAGTGTTGCTATTTCTATGCGAATAACTACGTCATTGTAACCCCTGACCTCCATCCGGGTATTTTAAGATAAATACTGATCTATGAACGCCATTGTCTACGTGTCATCTCCGAAACTTTTCTTGAAAAATCTCTCCAAAAAATCTAAACATCGTAATTACGGCAGGTGATTTGCATTGAAACGATAGCTGCACGCTACAGATGCTGTAGATGCATTTCAAGAGATTTTTGAGGACGCTGGCTCCGGAGAGTCTGACTTTGAAGACGTTTTGAACAGTGGTGAATTCAATCGTGATAGCAACAATAGCGATGTGTACATGTCCAATGAAGGTGACTCTGACTTGGAGTTTGACATCGAAGGGGCAAACCCAGCACCACCACCAGCCATGCCAGCACTGGTCAACGATGGACCAGGGAACAGGAACGAACGTCCGGCACACGCACAGAGAGTGCAAGGCAGTGGAGACACAGCTTTTAGGGCTGCCATGCGAAGGGCCTATCAGCATGATTGGCTGATGATTTCAACCAGCAGCACGGCCAGATGATTTTTGAGAGGCCTAATGATGAGGACATTTCAGAGTGTGCATTTTTTTCCCACTTTGACTGTGCGGTGATTGATTTACTTGTAACTGAGACAAACAGGTGCATGTATGTCGCAACTGTTATTGCTAGGAAGGGTGGCATGGATGGTCTCAGCCAACATTCGAGACTTCGTAAATTGACAAATGTTGATGCTGGAGAAATAAAGGCATTTCAGGCTATTCTACTTCTGATGGGCATAGACAGGCGACCTAATTATGATGCCTACTGGACAACGGAATGGCCATTCCAGGAGTGTTATACTCGCTTCATGGGTGGAGTAGACAGGGCAGATCAAGGTATGTGGTACCACCTGAACCTCCACAAAACTCTCAAGTTGTGGAAGAAAGTTTTTGTCTACCTGCTGTAGGTGCCATATGTCAACAGCTGGGTTTATTTGGGAGGACTTGCACCCTGCGACGAGACAAAAGAGAAGTTCCAGTTTACGATTGTACATGGCCTGATTGAGGGGCATGTTCGACCCGAGGTAAGACCAGGGCGGAGATCCCTGAACCAGCCTTCAAGGCTTACTGAGCGGCATTTCCTTGAGCACATCAATGTGATGACAGCTGCCAGCCGTAGGTCCAGACCAGACTGTGTTGTTTGCTGAAACCGTAACATCAAGTGCCACCAAACAGAGTATGTCTGCGATGAGGGCGACTTGCCGATGTGCCCAGCTCCATGTTTCCGTCGCTACCACACGCTTGTGGACTACAAGGCAGTTTGTGAGCCAGGATATCACTGAACTGACTTTGGACATGATAATGTGACAGTGTTGGTCAGTTATGCCTCAGTTTTGTATGTTTCATGAAAGTATATGGGTGATGCACATGTGCACCATACTGTACATGTACTGTACATGTACATGTGGGTTTGTGTACGTGAAGCGCAGGATGGTCTAGACTCACGCATTTCAAAAGTCTCTATCTTTTGTATTAGTCATCCTAAAAACATGCTGTTTGGACTACTACGTTGGATATTTTGTCTTTGACAAATTATTCACAGAAAGTATTATTACACAGAAGCTCCTTTAGTGGGAAAAATGCTTGTGAATATACATGTACATTGTATTTTCAGCATGTACAAAGATCTGTCCGAAGAATAGTTTTCTGTTTTAAACAAACATGGATTTCAAAATTATGTAACTTCCAGAATAAACCTCATAAAGTAATCTTGTTTGAACCAACATATTGGAAATCTTTGTCTCTACAAATAATTTATTTGGTGATTTGTGATACACAAACTGTTTGAATGAGAAAAAGGCCCACAAATGCATGATGGCAAGAATTGGGTGTGTACATTCAAATAATCCAGCAGAGAGGAAATACATACTATACAGATTCGTAGCATGCAATTGTCTGTGTAAAGTAAAGATCAACCATGGAGGGCATTTCTCAAGGATCAGCTTTTTGCAGTTCTTTAAAGGATTCTTTACTCCACAACCTTAACTGCAATACACACATGTAGATGGAATATACTTTCAATTAGACTGTTTATCAACATCTTTCTGTTTTTTTACCTTATCAAGAGCATCATAACAGCGATGCAGCAAAGCCTTCCAAAATTTTGAAGTCTCCTTCCCTGCATTTTGATGAACACTTTGTGCAACTTGGGTGATGTAGCCTAAAAGGACTTCCAACAATCTGCAGGAAAATGAATGGAAAACCACAGACTAGTATTTATTATCAGTCCTAACTTACTTCATATTTATTTTGCATTTGCACTTATGTAAGTCAAATTTCTCAAATCAGTAAGTTACATACTTTCTCTAACACAACATCAAGCAATTGATGATTCGAGCAAGCTTGCCAGAATGTACCCAACTGAAGTTTTATCACTTTAAAGTAGACACCCAATGCCTTCAATGAATATGCACAGATCACACTTTTTAGAGGGGGGTGTAGCCTTACCTTTGAAGTAATCTCTTCAAACACTCTGACTCCTCCCGAGTGGCATTAACTACCTGACAAAGACACCAAGTCAGAAAATTTAAATTCCTGAATGGTTCCATGCAAATTTTAATGTTTTCCAACCACACAGAGCAGATTTTTTTCTCTAGATGGAAACAGGAACAAAGCCCACTTGCAGCTGAAAATACTTCATAACTGACAACTGCAGTATCAAAAAAACTAGGACACAATAAAGGCACAGCAAGGACAAGACAAATCTTTGGTCAGGTTTAACTTCCAGCTCATCTACTAATCCCTACCTTTTCCATGAAGTCCGTACTGGAGACTACATATGGCATGAAACACACAGCACTAAATCGGAACTGTCTCATTTGACGAGCCCGGACATTTGGATCAGTTGCAAATAATGGCCCCTGATTGGGTGAAGTTTTATGTCGCTGTATCCTGGTACTACTGTGTCTAGTGGCCATGGAAGGTGGTCTCTTATCTGCTTCATAAATACAACAAATATGAAAAGAAATGCACTTTTGCATGAACACAATGAATGTGAACCCAAACACATTGCGATGCAGCTCCAGAACTGCAGACCAAACCAAAACATTTTGAAATGAGACATAATCAACATTATAAGTTAAAAAGGATTCCTTAAAATGGAAGTCAATTTGAGCAAAAGCCAAACAGTATCCTACCAGTTTCCTTGTCTTCTGTCAACGTCGAAACGTACTCCAACAATTTGGTCAAACTGGATATCTCAACTGTGGGTGAGAATTGTTGGCATAGTTCCAACCAAAAGTCAATACTACGACCTGGTCCCTAATATCAGAAAGAAGAAAATATGAACAAAATCAGTGAAACTGAATCAAATTCCATCCAACCATTCTTCCATACATGGAAAGAGTCCAACAAACCCTAACCCTGAAAAATATTATAAATTTCAGCTAAAAAATTACACTATCAAAAATGACTCACTGATTTCAATCTCATACATATAGGGCTTACATGAATACTACATAAAATCAGACAGCATCAAGTTTTGCAAAACACACCCTAATGTCTACATCATCTCCTGGGTGCATCGCTGCTGCTCCCTTGGTGACAAAACCTCCTATGAGCAGTGCCAGCATCTTAGACAGGTATTTCTCCTCACCGATGGTAGTCATCACCTGACTGAATAATGGTAAGCGACGATGCTCTGGAATGTGTGGGAAGGCATCTACAAAGACTCTCATTACCATGACAACCACCTCCTCAACATCCTTTCCTAATGTGGAGGGTAAGGTATGCTGCTCATTGACCTGGTATGACAATAAACACAATGAGAAATACAGATGCATTAACATGACCTTCATGTTCACTGTAAGTTTGTCACACCTTCATATATAACTTAAACATCTAAGCATTTAAATGTTGGCATTGTTTCACTGACCTTGATAAGAGCAGGTATGACGGTCTCAATGGTACGTGAAATGACTTGAAAACTATGGCTGTCATCACGATGCAACATGTTGGTACCCATGAAGGTAAAGATAGCCATAATGTTGTGCAATACATGATCCTGTGAGGAAACAAGTGCTACAATTAATTAGGAAATGAACTTGCACTGGAACAAAAATCATTTCTCAGACAGCTAAAATTATAAAACTAGAAATCCTTTTGAGTGTTACCGGGAAAAGTCCTGCAGCAGTTGCTAGCAACATCAAAGCATGACGGTGTGTTTGAGTGTCTTCTGATGTTCTTATACACTGTACAATTAGCTCAACATTGAATTGCTCCTGGCTCAATACATCAACGGGTAAAGGATCACTGTCAGGGGACAAACTGTTGCAGATATTCAGTATCGTAGTCAGAATAAGTTGCTTGAGGTATTCAATAGATGATTGTGGTTCTGTTGAATCCTGCTCTAGGCACCTGAAGGAAAGAAATCAAACAAAATGGGGCAATCAAGTTTGAATTTCAATAAACAAACTTTAACTGTCAGGGCAATATTTGTTATCATTTGAAAAACTGTTGACAGTTTCATCTGTCAAAAGGGTCTTCAAAGATGGATCAAAGAATGCATAGGCTATCTGGTCAGGGGTAACAATGCCATGTGAAATGCTTTGATTCTCAAGGAAATGTTTATATTATTATTAAGGATGGCTGTTTTACTTCAAATCAATGCTAAAAGGCTCGAAGTAGCTAACTCACAAGACATTCTATCTTTCTTCAAACTGAAAATTCCTGTATCTATACCCAAATATTTCAAACATAAAAATAAATATCACTTGTCACAATTTTCCAAAAAATTTTAATTTTGTAACAATGAGCAAGAAATTCTACTCCAAACATTAATCACAGGCATGGTACACCAATGAAGTTTACACAAAGAAATCTGCTCACCTTGACAGAATAGTGAAGAGAGATGGAATCAGCTGAACTACATCAGCAATCTTCGTGAGTTTCTTTTGTTGAACGAACTCCAAGATGTGAATGACGCGTTGCCATTGGTTGGCTTCTGGTTCTTTCACATTACTGGAAACAAAGAAGTCACAGGGGATTATTAAGATAAGAGTAAGTGATAGTTTAATGAGAGAGAGAAGTTATTGTCAGTTCAAACTTTCCCTGTCCCTTTTATCACGCAAGGGTTTTCATAAGTCTAATCAATACTACAAGATTTTTTCTTCTCAAAAAGAACGAAGCAAATGTAAGTTTTCTGATATCATCTTGACTTACTCTCTTGCTCTCTTTGCATCTCTGAGGCTTACGGCTTTTCCATCCATAGGCAATTTGTCCAACTCATATACAATTTGTTCTGCCTCAAGGGGCAACTAGAAGACAAAATTATGAAATGGGATTCCATTAAACTCAACTCCAACACCTAAAAGACATGTTACAAAATACAAAATATTTGATACCATTCATCAGAACCGAGCTACACAAGAAACTCACTTCATTTGCCACATTCAGGTTCATATGTTGATTTCGCAGTAGACAGACTACGCACAATACAAACTCCTTTAACCCTAACCCCCAAGGGTGTATGTGAAATCTTGTTGCAATCAGAGGATTTGGGAGTGTTAGGGTTAACAAACAAATTTAGCAAGTACATATACCTTTCTGAGGGTGCGTCTAATGCTGACAGCTACTGATGAATTCTTGGTAGCAACCTGCTGATCAATTAACCTTGACAGAACATGCTGCTTCAAGGTCTTGGAGGGTAAAGCTTTAAAGAAAGCTGGTGTGATCTGTAAGGTTGAGTAGCAAGTTACTGTTACCGTCTTAAACTTTAATCATGCATCAAATAAGACCAGTGGAAGATTTACATATACTGTGCTTCGCCAGGAACACAACGAAACATAACTGAAACTTTATTAACCGACGTTAAAAATCAATACAGCAATAAAGAGACCACCTCAATGTTAAGATAAGTATTCTAAAAAAATCCTGTAAATTATTATACATTTCTATTCTGCTCTTGAAGGAACATATTATCAGTGACACCACTGAGTGTCGGCATTGTACATTTTTTTCACATCAATGCAGAACCTTTTTCAATTCAAATGCCGAGTACTCCCTGTTACACGTGATTATAACTATTCACTTTTTACAATAATAGATTATTCTGATACCTGTCTAAGAAACAGTTTCTGCGGGGGCTTCATATTTGGATGCACTTCCTTCTCTATCTCCAAGGCAACCATGATGTCATCAATGCAATGTTGCACAATAGCAGCTGTTTCTGGGATGAAACGTCGGATAATGCTTTCCAGAATGACAGCCTGGTCATTTTCAAGTTGACCTCTCAACTGGCATTGTGTCAAGAGGCTATGGAGCATGTCCAGCAGCAATGAGAGGAAATGCTGAGGAAATAAGCCAACATAACAATTCTTATGATTGCGTTTAGAATTGGGTGGAGACTTAGGGTTTAGGTTTAGGGGATTGAGTTTGTTAGAAACTTGTGCATGTTTAAGACAAAAAAAGTTTAGAAAATGTCAATACTGTTTTGGGTTGAGCCTAAATTTGGTGACAGTCCAGGTGTCTGTTCCATTTGTAAATAAATCTAAGTGATCCAAGTTTCACTTTGACCTGAATTTGGGTTTGATCTTAGTAAAAAGGGACACACACACAATGTGATTGGTTTTGATAATAATCCTATTTTGGAATAATATTTCAATATATGGAGAAGATTGACATTAATAATAGCTCACCTCATTAGTGACTTCTGACAACACAGAAAGAAGTGCACGCTGTAAATACAATGGTACATTATCCTTGTTGACAAACACAAGTAGCCAATTCAAGCATTGGATCTTGGGATGGAGGTTTTCTGCAGCATGCTTTCCTTTCTTTGTCTTTCTGGGTGTTTCTGCTGGTTCAGACTGTTCAGCCTTCTCAACTGAACTAACGTTGGCAAAGAACAATCTCAATGCCTGCAAGGCAACAATTCAGTAATTAAAAATGGGATTATGTGCTATCAAAATGGAAGTAACAATGCTGTAGCATACATGACAATAGAAAGAGTGACACATTTAAAATGGACAATTAGATCTTGGTGACAATGACAGAGACAATAACAATGACTATGATAAATATTACTAATGATAACAGTTAACCACTTCTTCTTGTTCGACCAATATCCCTTTTTTTTCAATTTCAACAATGTTGTACCACAGATTACTGGAACTTGATCAGTTAAGATTTTATACCTGCTTCAAGTAGTTTGCATCTGCGATGATTTCATCACCCTTGCTGATAAGAAATTGAGCCAGTAAGATATAAGGCACCTTGAGCTCTTCTTCATCCAATTTGACCAATAAAGCTTGAAGACAATGTACAGCAGCAGCTCTGATTGGTTCATACTCACTGGACAACACCAGTAACAGGGAGGGGAGAACTGCAAATCAACAAAAAGGGTAAATGTACTTCCTTTTAATAACCTTAATATTGACAACATCCAACTATCTCCTGTCCACCTACGTCTAGTTTTTGTTTTGAGAGAACACATTCTCCTGTTTAGAGTTTCTAAAGATAGCAGTTGATTTCTGCTTCACCTATTAAATGGCAAAGAATAAATCTTACCCTGCTGCCTACAAGATTTGTGACTGACCCTGTCGTATAGTGTATAATATTATTCCTGAGAGATTCAAAGATTGCTTGAAGCAGAATCATCCATGAAAGTGGTTGAGAACTTTCACTACCTTCCGATTCTTGATCCAGAAGCTGACCTGCAACCTCAGAGATCATTGAGGTATCTTTTGTACTGGTAAGACCAACATGAAAACATCGTGCCTGGTAGAAGGGTGAGACTGGATAAAGCTGGGTACTCGATGCCTGGTGAGGCATTGTCCAGACGAGACAGAGAAACTTCCAAAGGAGGTGTGGTTTAAGCAGATGTTTCTGAAAAGGTCACAATAATAAACGACAAGCAAAGAATGCAATTATAATTGAAGGCTAGTTAACATGAGAGGTGGCAGTTGATCTCCATTCCTTGCATTTCATTAACTGCCTCAAAAATAAGGCATTATAGCCAACAGATTGGGCATGATTTATTCTTTAATGACAAGCAAAGTAAAGTTTGAAAAGATGGTAAAAAATCAACTTTTCACTCCAATATATATTTTCCTAAACCTTATCTGCACTGCCAGTAGTATTTCTTTATGCCAAAGGAAATCACAACTAAAATTTGTTTCCACTATAAAATAATTCACAAAAAGAAAAAAATCAGCTACACATGAAAAGGAAACCTCACCCGTATAACGTTTGTCAAGATGGTTTTGAACACGGGAACATGTTGAACCTCTTTCTCCTTGGACCCAGCAGCTTGGGTCAAAATGTCAAACAGATGTAAAAGCCAGGTCAAATACACATTGATTGGGTCGCCTTCACACGTCACTGAAGCCCACATGTACGTTTCTAAATAAAAACGGGAAAAAAGAGACTTTAAAGATGACATGAATACTTACAACTGAAAGAAAGAATCTGTATTTCACATTTTGACAGAAAAGAGAACAGAAAAATTGACACATGCAAAAATAAATATGCAAAGAGAAACATACCTGACTTCAACTGCTGCACTACAGGGACGTTACCAACAATGCTTTCAAGACACCACAATGTGGTCTCTACTTGTGACTGATGCATTCTGGGATTGTCTTCCTTATGCTGTTGCTTTTGCTTCTGTACCAGCAAATTGGACAGATGAGCATGTACTGCCTGAGGTAGGTTTCCAAGGCTACCACTAAAAGAGGGCAGGGGCTCCTCAGGCTTCAATTCAAAAGAAAGTGAAGTTTTTAGAGTACGTCAAAACATACTGCATGCTGCAAAAATGACTTTCTACTTTAAAAGCATTCACAAAACTTCTCCATGACATAACATCCTTAATGTTGAGATATACTTGTAGTAGGACCCCCTTCAACCTTTGACTTGTATGTGTAACCTCTCACTCCTAGTAACTCATGAATAATAAGTGTTAAGAAAATGCCTTCTTCCTGTTTTTCCCGACAGGCACTTCCTCCTATATTTCTCATATGGGGGTCAATCTAATTGATACAAACCTGGATAACAGACATGCCTGGTACCAGCATCATCTTGATATCATTCTTAAGGACTTCAAGCAGGTCTACAGCTACATACAGTTTGCTACACTTCTTTGAGTGATGTGCTATCCTGAGAAGGACGAAATCTAGTAAAACCTGGTAGAATGCTTGATGAGGATGTCGCTGGGTGATCTGGGCCATGAAGAGGGCAATCTGGGTAGATATTTCAACAGAACTATGTCATCATTCTCCAGCAATGTCAAGAGACCATTCATAGTAATGATTGCTATTTCATTTATATAGAAGCATTTTCCAGATTTGGATGGAATCTTGGTAAAGGCACCACAGTTTTTATTTCATATCTATACACAATTCAAATGGAGATGAAAGTAGGCACTGCATCTTCCCTACCATTTTCATCCGTTCATCAGAGCCAGCCTTTATTAAGTGTCGTGCCAAGATGTTAATCAAGCAACTTGTAACTACAGAAGGGTAGGAATCCTGTTCCCTCTTTTTTCCCATCCAATAAGCTACAACACAAACAGAAACACAAAAATTTTATTAGATAAATTTTCTCAGTGAAAATCTTTTTCCAGGACATAATTTTCATTACCCTAGAGACACTTCAGTCAGGGATAACCCAAGTTATTAGCATTCATAATGCACAATGTCGACAAGTTTCAAAGATTTCCTTTCTCAAGGAAGTTCTTTTATTGCAACTGAACATCTACTGTGTACCATTAACTTATGATTAGTGACTGATTTCCTGTCGGGGGCAATTCCTCTGTCACCTGTCATTTTCTATCAGCTCAGTTTTAATTTCATCAACAATATCAAGTTGAAATTTGTAGATGTAAATCAACCAAAGTGGTACCTACCTTTGTTTAGGAGACCAAAAATCTTAAGATCCCTCTTCAATGTGGAAAACCTGATGATGTCAATTATTTCATTGTCTGCTTCAGCCATTTCAGGACCTCGGTAGAACATATAGGGCAAGACTAGTGGTACTAGTGAAGTCCGTCTTTCCACACTAAGATCCCAAAGACAAGTATCTCCAAGAAGTTTCAGAGACAGTTTGATGGAAGTCAGTCTGGAAGTATTGGTATCAACAATGGAATCACTGAAATTGAATGGCTTAGTGGAAAATGTATTTCCAGTACTCATCAACTTAGCCAAATAATTCACGCCTGAAAAGAACAAATTATACCGTCATGTTTGGTGGACTGCAACGGCCTGGAAGCTCACAGAAATTACGGTTTAATGAATTTACATGGGTTTGGTTAAGCTTTGGGATATGCATTCCTATCTACAACTATACTATACTATACACAACGCTGGATTAATGCAATAAACTCTTAAGCAATGTTTTAACATTCTTGGCCCTACAGCCAAGGTACCTACCCTTTGTCTGTCTTCCTCTTACCCTTCCTGAGGATATCTGTCAGAATATCAAACAGCTTATCCTGTGGAAGGAGCTTGCATAATGGCTGGAAAGAACAATGGTTTACTATTTTAAGTTTCTTGTAACATTTTCTCAGCTTGAGAGAAAAATTAAAATGCAGCGGAACAAAGACCCAAAGGTAACATAATTCTTTCAGTGGCTTCATGCTTCCAACCAGTGAACTTCATATACTTGTGATGAAAGTGAGTTTATAACTCTCAAAGAAACAGTCATTAGAAGACTTACTTTGCCAATTTCCAAAGAAGCATTCACCACTTGTAGTTTGTCATCACGAAGGCGCTGTAACAACGACTCAACAAAGAACCCCCCCATGACTTCACCTGCAGCTATTCTCTCTCCTAGATACTGTACTCCTAGCATTCTGATGTTGGCGTTGGCATGGTTGAGGCTCATGACTAATGTTGTTGAGGTGTCAGAGATTGTCTGCGATAGGAATTAAAGAGATATCAGCATTAACAAATTACCACAGCTGAAGAGCCCAATGTAATGAGCTCACGGCCCTTCAGGTAAAGAAACAGCTTATGGGTCTTTGTGCGAGGTATATTTGGACAATACTGTAAGGGTATCATCATCTATGAGTGAACTGAATACCTGTGAAGGAACACAGGGTTTTGTGTAGAAGCGTCCAACAAAATGACAACATAGCATACACTCCCTCAGAGCTAATGTTGCCATAACACGTTGACTGCCATGCACAATTTCAAAGGGGCATTCTCATTTGCCAAGTGTTGTACCCATGGGCACGTACATGTATTTAACAGGTACATTTCAGGTGTCTGTTTGAACATGAGCATACTCATAGTGGCAGAATCTGGTACCCCGGCAGTCGACGGGTTAAGACTTGTCCATGGGCCTAAGAAACAGATGTAGAGATTTGATTTCTGCACTGGTAGATATCCAGACTCAATTCTATCCAACACTCAAAGATGCCAACTCTTAGGTACTAAAGGTAGCACAACACAGAAACAAAGATCAACATGTACCTGATGCTTTGATGCAGAGACAGACATGGAGACGAGCTCTTGGATGATTTCCTTATCTCTGCTATCCATATCTTGAGACATAAAGGTTCCGATTGCCAGATCCATTGCTTCTGGGTACCTGCCAATAAAATCCACTCGTCAGAATGTGAAATGTGATTAAACTGTTTGACTGTGGCAGGTGGTAAAACATACATCCGAGGAAAGTTTTCTTGATTTAAAGCAAGAAGTCAATGCAGTGCCCAGCATGGTATTCCACACATCTGTTTCCTACCTACCTTCTTTCCAAAGCAGCAACAATAGATGACACCTGCTCTTTCAACTGCTTCACCAATGATGCCTGTTTTACCAGCATTTTTCTTACACTGACATACTTGATCAGAAGCAGCCTAGAAACAAAGTACACAGCATTGAGGAATATCAGTTCACATTGAACTCAGCAAGCAATGCAACGGTTGTACCTGCAGTCAGTTCTTTTATTTCCTAAACCTACCAACAGAAGGCAAGTTTTATATTGCCTGTAAAGTGATACTTCAGACAGTGTATATTTTCAGACATTTTCAAAGTTTCATCTAGAAAACTGATATAACAACCAAACTTTTGGCTAAATGAACGCTTTTGCATCAACATGCTTTTAAGAGAGATGGGTAAGAGTTTCTCTGGCCTGTTGGTCAGGGGCCCAGCCATTTTTTCAACATATTCACCATCTAGAGAATGAGTTGACTGACAGCTTAAACCCTACATATTAATTTACACAGAAACATATTAATCAGTCAAAATGTTAACACAAACGTTCTGGAAAATATTTGACCAAGAAGTCGGATAAAAGCCACAAAATACTTTCAGGCTATATAATGTATGGCTCTGTGCTTAATCTCTTTGATGATCAGCAATTTAGAAAGTTTTTGTTCACTTGTTAACTGAAATTGAACCTTGTACAGACACCTTTGAAATCTTACCCTGCCATTTCCTTCATTAATGTTGCATCAAGTTTGACTCTCTGTAAGATTTCTTTCATCACAGCACACATCAACTCTCCTCCCTCCATTTGGCAGTTCTGATTTCCCTCCATGACACTGTGCATTGTTGCATTGATAAGCCTAGTGAGGAACAGCTTCAACAGACGGGTAGAGTTTGATGCTTGTGACAATACCTCCAGTGCACTCAGAGTGCAGGTAAAACTGCAAAGCTTCTGGAAGGCACTATTGTAATTTGAAAGAAGATGAAAAGTTACATGGAAAAAAATTCAAATTGTAAGGGTCAAATGGATAAAGTCAAAATACAGAGGACTTGGTGCTAATGTGAAAGACTTCTTAGACACACAAAAATGTCAGCTAAATGTCAAAGTTAGCTTTGAAGTATTAAAACAAAATTTTCACGGAAGAAATTGACAAATCTTTTGGACACACTGCCACAGGTTACCTTTTCTAAACTAAAACATCTTCACAGGAAGGCATGTTTAAGAAACCGATTTCACTGACTGAATTCTGAATGTACCTCTCAGGTAATTCTTGCACCGGCTGGGTATGACATAGAATCGCAATGCAGGATAACCCTTCGACAGCTAACGCAGGAGTCAAGTGCTAAAACATAAACAAAATATTACTAACATTTGAAAAAGGTGTTAAACAAGATGCTGTGTCTTAAGTGTGTTGTTGCTATTAGCAGAGTCCTTTCTATAAACAATGCAAAGACCAGCTATCAACATACCTTACATATGCTCCTGATGATGGGGTCTACAAGGTCTGTCTTCATCTTGACCTTAATGGCCAGCTCACAAATGATCATGTAGCTAGATGCCTGGTAATCTGCCATTCTGCCATCAAATGCAAATCATCCAATTAATCTAAACAGAAGACAGTGGTGCCATTACTCTGACACTAAATCTTATCTGTTCCCCATGACTTTTGAAAGTTCATTCACATTCCTCATATCACACAGACAAGCATAAGTCTCCTTCTGTATCCAAATAAAGTGTGTACATGTACATGACAAAGCAAGAAAGACATCCCCTTTTAGTAAGCCTTGGAATTCAGTGTGTCCATGGATGGACATCGTGTACAAACTAATACATGTAATCAAGTACACTCTCAAATATGATCTCCTGTCTGAACATTTAAGGAGACCAAATCACTTGGTAACCATGGCAACTACCTACTTGGATTTTAGTCCCTTGAGCACATACGGAAGAATCCCAGACAACAGCTTTTCATTGACAGGTTTGGCAAGCTCAATTGTCCCAACAATTGCTGAGCAGTAGAAACTCGTCATGACTCGCAACAGTGCCTCAGTTGATCTAGAAGGAGTTTCACTATCTATAGATGATGGATCATTCTGGTCAGGAGAGTGGGCAAACTTGTGTCTATGTGCCTGTGTAAAACAAAATTACACAACAACATTAAAAAATGACACCAAGAAACATTTCTTCAGACCAGAATAATGCATACATGTATACCTCAAAGAGGAATTATTTGTGAGACATTCATTAAGCTACATGTATTACATGTATGTACACCAGAGTCTAGGATAGCTTTGTAATAATGAGCTTATCAATGCATATATGGTTGCTACTGTAAGTTACCTCCTGTTCACATAGCTTTGGCATTATAAAGGTGAGACAAACTTCAAAACTATGAAAGAAACATTATTTCAAATAAGTGATTATTAATTGAAAATTTACATAACAAGTAACTACATACAATCATTTTTACCTTAATGGTAGACGGCACAAGCTCACACACGAACCTAAGAAAACCAGGGTCTTTGAAGCATTGGTTGATAAGAGTTGTTCTTGACAAGGGCACCCCAGGGTTCTACAAGACAGTGAAGGAAATAATTACAAACTTGAGTTTTATACATTTGGTACAAATTTCTACACAAATAAAAGCCAACTCCTTACACAGGTATGAATAATCAAACTCCATTAGGCTTCTCAATAAACCTTGCACTGAAACACTAAACAAACTTTCTGTTTCCCTGTCAGAATGAGTCAATTTTCATAAGATTACTGTGGGGAGGATTTTGCAGCAATAAATTAATAAAAATGCTTTCATGTCCTTTAACCCCTGACCTGAATTGGTTGAAGCCAGTGCCACTTGTTAGTATCATCCTGTAGTCTCAGCAATTGAACCACACGGACAAAGATCTTGGTGTCGTGGTATGGGATGACACATGCCAAAAGGTCATCGATATTGTACTCATGAATTGAAAATCTAAAGGAGAAATGAAAGAAGGTACAATGCAACGTTAAGTATGGTGCAAAATCTGGAGGAAATACTGTTGACATTGTCTTGGTTTTTTATGGTATGTTTAATTACCACATGAAACTTTGAACAGAAAAGAAGACAATTGGTTTTCATTCTGTGAGCTGCTCTACAACAAGGGAGGCAATTATGTTTGTCAATAAACAAGAAAGTTTTGAAAGGTTTGTCATAATCGCACGGTGGTTTAAGACTCAGACATTCAATCTGATTTACATGTATGCTTTTCAATTTTCAACAAAAACCTCTTCATTAGAGTCTGAAAATCAAGTTTTAAGTGTAAAAAAAATTATTTTACAATTTCATGTTGTTTCAGAGATATAACAGTTTTAATGTATAAGCTAACACAAGTAGAAAATAAAAAAGATTTACATTTTGTTTCAATGTAAAACATCTGCCGAGGCAAATAAAACTTTGTTTAAATATAAAATATTGCTTTTTTCATGTTGCCTAGATATCCCCTTCGAATGGTGTAGAGTATGATATGGGTCAATTCTTCGATGATATGGTAACATAACATTGAAAAAAGTCAACTAAAATAGCACAAAATACATATGTTTAAAAAGATAAGACATTTTGAAGAGTACCTTATAGTACCCATGGTAGAATGCCATAAATTTGTAACATATCCAGTGAGTAAATATCCCTTGTCAAGGTAAAATCATGGTAAATACTCAGAAATGTCCCTTACACCTGTGACAGATGGAATTTCGATCAATGTTTTCACTAGAAATATTGCCGAACGCACGTGAACGAGTGCCCTCTGTTGACGTGAATAGTCTGCGAAATTCAGCAACATGTGCCCATACATTTTTCTCTCTGATCCCACACAATTTGTACGATGTCATTGCATTGAAATTTTATCAAAGTGCCGAAGCCAGTTACATTTTTGCTGAAGTTAAATCTCTTTAGTTGTGCTTTATTCACCCATCTACACTGTACAATGAAATAATATCATCTTGCCACTGGTTGAATGGAATGTGAGATGCATTGTTGAGGAAAAGTCTTGCCCAAAAAATTACAAACGAACAAAGTTGTTTTTTTTTGTAAACTTGACCAGGATGGAGCACAGTTTGCGAGCAGAGAGAAAAGAGTAAACACTGTTTGAGCCAACCAGACGTGTTTTCTCTGAGGAAGCCAGATACACAGGTACTTTCATCTTGGACTGATTTTTGTCCAGTCCAAAAAAAAATGTAAAAAACAAACAGACAAAAGGTAATTGAGCTGTCATTGTGATGTAAAGCAGGCATTAATGGCTTTATCGTAACTCAGTAGAGCTTTATTTCCCCTGAACTTTTCCAACCTGAAACAAACCCAAAGGTAGCCATCAGACTCCTTACAAGAACCATTCAATTTGCAAAGCTACATATTTCACATTTTTCTGTCTTCAATGGCCAGGAAGATAGAACTCTCTCACGATGAGATCTGGAATAAATACCTAGAGACAGGATGGATCGGGCACAACAAGAGGCCAGACTATAACCATAGCAGGAGAAATTATAGCAGACTACAGCCTAAAGGGAAAGTTCATGGAACTGTACATTTCCGAGCAACTAAAAGCACACAGAGGGAGAAATGTATGAAATTGAACAAATCACTGCCCTCTTTTCATTCAAGAAATTTTCTTTGATGAATCATTTTTAATTTTTGAGAAAGAGCCATCTCTAAAACAAATGACACATCATCAATTACTGTTGAGGAAGCTTGTCCAAAAAGGCTGAAGCTGATGTTCGCACTCACCCGAGAGTTAATCCCCTAGATGAAGTGGGACCTCACAAATGGAACTGATATTAGATGAGTTGTGAGTAGAACCCGGGGAAAATGGAGTATCCCAAACTCAGTTACTTTTTTGTATATGACATAAAGAGAAAAAACTGTTGATGTTGGCATGAGGCTATTTACAGATAATTTCCGCCATGGAAGTAAGCTAATATAACTTTTAAATCTTTTCAACCTACATGTAGTTTTCTGTATTTGGAGATGATGTTCAAACATGCTTGTTATAGTTTTTAGGAATTTGGACCCTTCATTGTTCCGATATCTACTGATGTCTGGGTCAAATACAGTTTTAAACCACTGTGAATTGGCATATTATTTTGAACCTGATAGAGTGTCTGTGTGAGAAAACTCCAACCAAGATGCTCCAAATCTATGTGCTTACCTGTGAATGAGCCATTCAGTAGCTTTCTGGGCAGGTTTTAACAAGAAGAAAGGAGACAGTTGCAGCAAGAAATGCTTGATCTTACGATCCAATCGTGAATTGACTTCTTGAGTTTGGACAGAGCGCTCAAGTGACTTTGAGGCATCATCAAAAAGGGTATTCTCAAACTCTTGAAAGCTAGGGTCAATATTTTCCAATTCTTGAAGACCGTTCACACCTAGTGCAACAGAAAGAAGAAAATCAATGAGTTGTACTACATTCACAATAGAAACAATACATGAATAATGCACTGAAATGAATGCCACTAATCAAAGGACTTCAATTTTATAAACTCACTCCAAAGACCAACATATCCAAACTCAATTCTGACACATCCAGTCTTGGACCAGCAATTCCTATTTTAAGCCATTAAATTAAGTGTCACATCACTTACCATTGGCAAGTTTTATATTATTAATAAAACCTAAACAGCCATTGCCTTCATCAAATCTTTCACACTGCAAGACAACCGTTTTCATCTGGCTTCTTGGGCTTGTTTAACTTAAACGAAAGAAGTAACGCATCTTACCTAAGGCATAGAAAGTTTCCTGATCTAATGAGGCTGCTTCCTTGGAATCAAAAAGCAAGGACTTGCGATGTCTGTCATGTGTTACAGTAGCAACCTGTGCTTGGGGCACAGCAAGACGCTTGAGTTGCTGAGCTAAAGATGTCATCTCCGCCATACAATGACTGTAATGCCATAAAGTTACAATTTACTAAGAAAAACTTAACACTCTGTTGAAGGCTCCTCAATATATACAGGAATGACGAAGCAACCACCATTGGTAGGGTACATTTTAGATCATAATTTGCACATGACATCAATCTCTTTATCAGCTGAAAATGTAAATACAAATAGTTCTGATTGATCAAATTTGCAGGAAATGTGCTACCCATGATTTAAATGAAAAATACCTTTTATTTGGAATCTCTAAATATAGATTGAGGAGATTTTTGGGTCAAATCTTGCCTTGGAGGTGTTGAGTTCAGTGGATGAGCTAGTTAAATTCTGCCAATGAAAACGCTTGCATGAAAAATACACTTTTCTGGAAGTTTAACTTCTGCCTGAATATGTTGCAATTAAAAATCTCCACCAATTCACCATGGCAAATTTTATGATTACCATGGCAATTTTCCAAAATAGCCATCAGAAATAGTATTGCCATAGACACGAACAGTAACGACCACGGTAGCCATGCCATGTGTGCTGGTCACCGCATGCACAATACGAAAAGTATTATACTGGTTTTCCTGTCCATGCCATTTAAGCCAATGAAAAAAGTTTACACAAAAAAGAAGTTTTGCCAAAGCTTACTTTTATGCATGAAAATATTGCCATTACAAATCTCTATCGAATTACTGTGGTAAATTTTATAATTAATGTGGCAATTTTCCATAATAAACATCAGAAATAGTATTGCCATAGAAATGGCAATGGCCAAGGCAGCCATATTGGCCTTCAGCATGGTTAATTAAACTTTAAACCTTTTTTTCCCCAAAATCTCTTGAGAAAAATGACACCATATTCACATGATCTGATAAAAATGACATCATCCCCCCTTGAACAAGCAACATAAGCAGAAACAAGCAACATTGCTAGATAGATTATGGTTTGGTCAACGTGGTCCTAATCTGCTCAAAATACTTGCTTTAGCACTTTCTGCACACAACTGGATGGTTATCTTCCATGACTCTGTTGTTTCACACTGAGTTCAATGGGGTATAAACATGATAAAAAAAAAAATAAAAAAATCTTTCCCTGACTATGCTCAAAGTCTACGAAGGCCCAAAATGTTTGTAGGCATCATTCTGAAAACAATAACTTACATTAGGCTATTATGTACCATCTGGCATTTGTAAACTTTGGGACCCCAAAGTCTTTGGCACTGCCATCGGTAGGGACAAGACATTGCATGATCTCGGACAAAGTGCATTGCAGTCATGTTGCATGTTGAAAAATGTTTGCGTGGATGTGCCAGTAGTGTTTTTTTTAACTGCCGGATACCACTGAATCCAGGGCTATATTGAAAAGCACGCTTCCATATGCAAGCATTCAACATCTTGTAGTCATTTTTTTGTGTGCAAAGTACCCAGATGGACTTTTCATGCAATTGAAATCATCAGCCAACAAATCGGCATATTTTCACCCCAACTCGAGGTGAAACACTCTCATGAATACATGGAACCTTTAGTTTATATATTTTTCTCTAACACTGTGAAATTTGAAGACTTGCACACTTTGAACTATGATCTGCAAAACTTGTTTATCCAATGCATAAGCACCAGTCGTTGATGGTGTTGATCAAATGTGGCATGCTACCACGCGAATCATGGCAATTGAAATAAGCTCAAAAAGATATGTTTGCGAATTATTTCAGCTTTGTACTGGCCAACAATGTTATTCCCGAATCCCATTTTTAAATAAATGTACGCCTATCAGTCACACTTGATACTTGACCCAGAAAGTTGAATGATATATCATATTCAACTTTCAAGCTCTTTTTCTGCTCTTTGCAATGGTCATGAGGGTACCAAATTAAAGTAGAGAAAGAGGTCAACATGCAAACTTCTGGCAATTTACAGACCCTATTTTTTGTAAATTTAGATCAATAAATTACAAGAAAATGCAAATTTTTTACCTGGTTTTCTAACACTAACACACCGGACCATAATGCCGTCAAGGTTGCTTTGTTTTAAGCCAGAATTCCTCATAAATCATGCATAAATCAAGTAAATCATAAGTTCCAACATTTGTAACTCTACCCTCTTTCCACAAAATCAATCCTGCCTTTATTCAGCATGGAAACAGCGAAATGTAATAACGTGAGTCTTAAAGTAAGCTTCCATTCTGTTATAACATGTGTTTTATTCCTCCATGGTTATACTAGGAACAAGGTCCCGCAATTTACAAACGCCTGTCATGACTATACTAGGCATGGCAGCTCGTCCTTAGGTTGCATCATGGAGGAATTCCTCCATAGTTGCATCATATTGCGCATGCCTAGTGGCCACGGCATGCAACCCTGTGTAACAATATTCAACACAATTGTATTTAAAATCTACTGAAAAACAAGAGGTATTAAAGTTTACAAAGTCTTCAAAACCAATAATCCTACTTACAACTTAAGATCGGAAACGTTGTGAAGAACATGAAGAATATGCCCTGAACATGCTGAAGGCAATACTTAGTCACTTTCGGTCCATGTGCTTGAAATGAGCAGGTCCCATGTAAATACGAAGCCCTTTATATTCGGTATGACGGCAGGGAACCAATTCTAGAACAGGCGAATCATTCTGCAAGGGGGCGCCCTGTTCTTGATCACTGATAGAGTGTGGTGATCAATATTAAACGCACTTACTCGGTCTGCCTCATTACTGTTCGAAATTATATTTTTTCTTGGCTTACGAATCACTATACACATGGTGAAGCCTAAGAGCATCTTTTTAAAACCATTTACCCCAAACGCGTTGATTCTAGTCAATATAAATGCCAAAGACGATGAATTCAATTTTCCGAAACCCTCAGCCTTGGAAATAGTCAAAAATAATGGTACCTGTCATCTATATTTCGATAATAGTAATTTTTCCGACACAATGTTTTTCTTAAACAAACTAATTAGACTGAAAAACAAACTAATTAAATTACACAGCTGAGATGCATTTTGAAAGTTTCATGATCCCAGTAAGCAGGGTAATTATAATGGAAAACGCCTTAATAAAGCGCTTCATAAACCCTGTTATTATATTATTGTTGTTAAATAACACATCACTTCTAGTGTACTCACTCTGTCGTCCAGGAGAACATGCGTATTCCTGTTTTCGTGTTTCTGCGCAGTCGTGTTTTTGGCTTCAGCAATCCAACCAATAAAGGAAAGAATGCAATCACCATCTTGTATTAAAGCCACTTTGAGCCTTGCTTCCTTATATCATATGCCAACTGAAAACAGTCAACAAGGCTTCCTAGCCCAACGGAGCCCAACCAATTCGGCTTCACTTCTAATCTTTCGTTTGTTAAAGTTGAATACATCATGATTTGTTTGGCCACAATATCCCCCCCAAAGTCGTTCTCCGTGCTTGTTTTGACTTGCATCATTACGAGTTTTATTTCATCATCGGGTAGGTAGAATATTGTTGTACCTTTTTCAATCTGTTGTTCACTTTATCTCTTTGTCAATGCTGTTGTCGTTGTTGCTGTTCTGGTGATTGTTTGTTTTCCACTAGGTCGGTATTCTCTTGGCTTGTAGGAGAAACGAAGTTAGATCTATCTTATATTTCGTAAAATCCCTTATCCTGGATCAAGTAATAATTACTACTTCTTTTAGGATGAAGTTGTCTCGCATTCCAACAAAATTAACAAGATGATCGATTCGAATCCCAGATATTTGGTGAAGACGTATAAAAACATTATTTTAAGTTTTCTCTTAAAATACATATTGCAGTATCGCGCTAAAATGGACCCAAATACCAAAAGTACAATTCTATTTAATTTTCCAAAAATACAGATTACTATGACAACTCTCATGAAGCCCGATTAAATTCTTATTTTGAGTTAGTGCAGGCATATTTTTTTAGTGTTCCACCGAACAGATATACATTCCGTGCTACCATCCCAGAATACTCTGAAACCATCTTGTGTGTAATCCTTCTGCATTTATGTTCGTGTAATTATCAAAATCAGCCAGTAATATTTCGAGTTTGTTTTTTAATTTATCACTGAGACTGATTCCAAGTCAAAATTTACAATTTCAACTTTACTTGACTATATATCTTGATAAGAGATATCTATAAGTCCGAAACAATTAGCTTTCAGGGAGGATGGTCTCGACCCATTTATCTTGTGCAGTGTCCGTATCAATTTGTATTCGTTTCCATCTGTGTATAGCAATCGGATTTTTATACAGTGTGTTTCGATTATTTATTAAATGATCCTGCCCTCTAAGACAGTTTCGGATAAACTGTCTAGAGGAAGTATTTTTGATTAGATCATTCCAAACATTTACGTTATGTTAAGTTAAGTTGCACATATAGCGTTGGCACAAATGCCCCCCCCCCGCCCCGAGACATGGTTGTCATTTTTGATTGTATAGCAAGCATTTTAGAAAAGCACCTTTCCCGGGGGGCTGAGGATTTTTGCATGGATGAAAAAATTATTAGACACCTGAATACGTCACCGGTCAAAAACTTCATAAAATCCGATTCATAAAATTGCTGTCAGCAACCTGCTACCTTACGTTGGACAGTCACAGAATTTGTAGCAGACGGACTAACCTCCAGTACAGAAACCACGACAATCCTCAATCCCTATAATATAGTTAAGAAGGATCACAGGATTTATTTACAGAATGAAAAAGCATGTTCCAATATCGAAAGGCTATAGGTGCCTTCTTCGTAGGCGCAGGAACTTCGTAACCTTGCCCCATTTGGAGCCACTGTACCCTTTAAAAAAGAAAACACGTAGAATAAAAGAAACAAATAATTCCTATAATTTCATGTGATTGAAAGGCTCAATGTTTAGTTCATGGAATCGTGGAAAGACAGAAAGTGAAGAAAGAAAAGTGTGTCTTGCTTGTGAACAAGAAACGAGAACAGAATTTTACAAAATCGAGAAAATTTTGATAAATTATTTTTTAAAGTAATTATATTTCGTTGTGTTTTTTTTATAGCATTGGCGCAGTACGTCGAGGGTCATTGCCATTCCAAATTGACTCACTGCGGTCCTCAGTCTTGTGCAGAAGGGATTCCACATGCACCAGGTCAACTGCAGAATTTTCTCCGGTATGACAGAATCAACTGCCGATGCGACAGAAGGTGTAGTTTGTACGGCGACTGTTGTGTTGATTACTGGGAGCATTGCGTCAACCAAACACATCCACCAGTTACAAGTTCCAAATATTCTGCGTTCACCGAGTGTTTTAGCCCACTAAATTCAAAGAACGTTCTCTACAGTTATTTTGCTGTAGTCCAATGTCCATTTGACTGGCCCCAAGACGACATTAGACAGAACTGTGAGAACGACACATTGGCCAAGTCCCAGAAATTGCTCACATTCCCCGTCAATGGTCCAGGAGAGACCGTCTTCAAGAACGTGTACTGTGCAATCTGTCACCGCTTGCCAACAACTCATCTTTATCCTTGGATACTTCAGCTGTGGAGCTGTGAAACTGCTGTAGATGAAACTCCAAACTTTGACTCGTGTTCAGGAATTTCCTTAAAACCACCGTTGTCCACAACAGTTCATCCCCATCGTTGTTATAAAGATCTGATTGACAGCTGCCCGGTAAATGCCACGGAGTTCCAAAAAGTGTCGTGTGAAAATCACACATCTTTGGTATTTGGAACGGAAGAGAAAATGACCATTTTTAAAAATGTACACTGTGCAGAGTGTGTTCAAAGTTTGTCTAGTTTGTCATGCCACATTCATGAACCTAATATCAATCCTTCTCATTCATTCGTTCTACTTTTTAACTTTACCGAGCGTTCGGTCCGCTACGTCTTTAAAAGTTGGTTTATTTGGGGAGAGAATGCCTTACCTCAAGTTCTAGGAATCTGCACTCAGTGGCAGATGTACGACCCTTTCCAGGGGACTTGTAGAGACCTGATCTGTCCAGTTGGTATGACGATACAATCGGGACAATGTGTTCAATCTTTACACAACAGGATTGCCGACTACAGCTCTGATACCACCATTGGTGACTGCTTCCTACGGTTTTTATCGTCTGAAGGAATCGAAAACTACACAAACTACAACTCTACAACTTTGGTAAAGATTTTCCAGCAAAACATCACAAATAACCCCACGACTAGTCAGCAGATTTACGTAAGAGCAGAATTTTCTGTGGCAAAACGCATCGAAGATGCTCTTCACAGATTTGTGCATGATGAGGAGCTGAATGACAACACTTCTCGTCTGTGCAATGTAACAACACTACTTCTGGTAGCCTCATCTCAATCCAACAAAAACGTGTCTCAGCACCCAATCTGTGAAGGTTTCACACTGCATGACGTCCAACTTGTCGATATCGACCTGAATAACAACAGTGGTATTCTTTACCGAACAGAAGATGGGCACGTGTACACCGGGTTAGAATTTATGCACGCCACCGTGTATGAGTTCTCTGGTAATGCAAGAAGCCGTAACATATCAAGGGAAACGTACTTGACGCTGTGTGACCCGTTTGTTGGCAAAAGTTGTCCAGTGCTGTCTTTTAACACAAGCGAGTTTCTTGTAGAGGCATCCGGTAAAGATGTTGTCTTTGTTCATAAAGCTTCAGGTGTAGCATTCCCAGCCGATGACATTTGGCAGTTGCCTGACGGTTCTCTTCGAGTGTGCAACTTTCTCCATCGAGTGAAGCAAGACAATTACCCAGCTTGGGTGACAGCACTGTCTGGTTTCAGTTTTGCTGGTAGCATCATTTCTGTTGTTTGCTTGCTTTTTGCTCTGTTAACCTACTCTCTCTTCCCATCTCTCCGGAACCAGCCAGGCAAAATAATCATGAATCTCATGGTAGCTTTCGTCTTGGCTCAGTTTGTTCTGATGGTAGGCAAGATTTCCACAGTTTGGCTATGTGTCTTGAGGGCAACCGTTCTGCACTTTATTTGGCTTGTCGTCTTTTCCTGGATGAGTGTGTTGGCTGTTGAATTAACACGCAGCTTCAAGTCCACCATGCTCCCAAATAAAGAAACTGATTCCGTCGATTGTAAGGTCCTCAAGCTGGGTATACTTGCCTGGGGACTTCCTGCAATCTTCGTGTCTGTCTGCTTCTTGGTATCGAAGTTGGGTCAAAATCAGTCATGGCAATGGCTTGAATATGGTGGGAGCAGCTGCTGGATTGTGAAGCCTCTACATTCCTTCTTTGTTTTTGGTATCCCCGTGGCTATCTTTCTTCTGATCAATTTTGTTATGGTGACTTTCATGATCTTCAAGGTGATTGCAAACCGCAGGCGTCTTGCCGCTGTACAGATGACAAGAAAATTAAAGACAGACATCATGTTGTGTTTAAAGGTAAATATTGGTTTTTGTGCTTTTAAGCGCAAGCAATTAGTTCTTCTTATCCTTCTGTTATCATTTTCCGCACAAGACTAGTTAATACAGCTCTTGTGTAAGTGCCTGCGATAGTCTCTTTCATTCTTTTATTATAAAACGAAGCGAAAGTCAAGATACAATCCCTGACAGAACTTGATTTTAAAGAATGAATCTCGAATCCTTTTTTTTTTTACTTAAACGAAGTCTGGAGAGAAATCGAGAGTAAAATGTTTTAACTTCAAGGTTCATGATAACCTTGTCTTTGATACATTGTAGCATTCTTTAACGATCTTTTACAACAGTGTGCTGAAACGAGGTTACTCGTAAGCGAAATGTACCGATAATCGATATGTGTGACACAGTTTCTTCACGGTTCCAGTGGTTAAGAGTAACCATTCCCACAGTACCTAGATCTTTTATCTCCACAGATTATCGTGTTAACCGGAGTGACATGGAGCCTATTCTATGCTGCCAGTGTGGTGGACAGCGTGCCCTTCTGGTACATCACCGTTTGGATCAACTCCCTTCAGGGTGCATTTGTCAGTTTGATGTTCATCTTACGAGACAACGTGAGGGCGCTATGGCTGAAGAAACTGGTGAAGGTTTGGGGTTACTGCCAGTGCCATCACAACGGCAAGTAACAAGACCGGAGAAACAGTCCATTTAGCACAATGTCAGGAAAGCTACAATTTGGAACAAATTCCACTAACATTCCTTTAAAGTTCAGTGAATATCTTCATCTCGCCTTACACGCACATTGATGGTACTGGACTTATTCATATTGGTAGGCCACCATGAATGGAAATTCAGGCGATCCACGTACAGGTTTTCTAAAAACTTAATAAATCTGGGAACAGAGATGATACAGTAAGCACAATAGATTCCGATGATTATAGCTCCAAATTACGGGGGAGTAAACCATGTCGCCTTTATTGCCCAAATGAAAATTAGTTTTATCAGTGAGGCCTCATGTAATACTCGCTCGCCTCCCACTGCCCATACTGGGCGCCTCCCACTGCTCATACTGGGCGCCTCCCACTGCCCATACTGGGCGCCTCCCACTGCCCATACTGGGCGCCTCCCACTGCCCATACTGGGCGCCTCCCACTGCCCATACTGGGCGCCTCCCACTGCCCATACTGGGCGCCTCCCACTGCCCATACTGGGCGCCTCCCACTGCCCATACTGGGCGCCTCCCACTGCCCATACTGGGCTCCTCCCACTGCCCATACTGGGCGCCTCCCACTGCCCATACTGGGCGCCAGAAGAGGTATGCTTCAACCAGCATTCGACGGAGTTCATTTGAACAGTAATACTGGTCAGCACTTCAACGTGCTTGGATACAGACAAATAAGAAACTATGCTTTTTGCGTCCATAGATGTAACGTATATTTACTTCACAAAAATTGTGAAGCTCGTTATTTTTCACTTCCCAGAGCCCTGAAGAGGGAATACGCACATGTAATTATAGCCAACTGGGCGCTTTCCCATTTGGGAATGTTCAGTATGGAAAGTGGGGTCGAGGAGTCCAATATAAAATGGCCATCTCGTGAATAAAGGCAACAGGTGGAAGTTATAACGTCTACGGGACATCGACAGACCACTTGGCACAAAATCGCACACAAACCGTATGCCTGCATACGTATTTCTTTTCTTCAGTATCTTGCCTCCTCGACTAGTTGGTGCATCTATTTGCCAAAATGCACGCAAACCTGAAGTTTCAAGAACGCCCAGCGTAGCGCCATAACATCGCTGTGCACAATGATGCCTCCTTAGATTATTCTGTAAACGCCCACCTACCCCATCGATCGCCCCTCCTCCCTAAAGTACCCGGAGAGGAGCTGGCATTGGTATCTATCTTAATTGATGATTTTCACATGTAATTATTATACTGTACCAATCACATTTATTTAACCATTACACATGAAAAAAGTCAAAGTAATTTCAAGTATTCAACACGTATGTACATAATTCAATATTGTTAGTTGTTCGTTCGTAATGTTTTTCTCTTGCAACGCCAAGTTCGTATTTTGCCAGTAAGTAGTTGGCAACCTACATGTATATGGATGACGCATGGGTGTAAAAACATACTTTTAAATATCATGAAATTAACTAAGCACTGTATCATATAAATGTATCCATGACATTGCTCTCATGTTACCTGTTTTCTGGTGGTTGCACGTTACTGTTTAACATTACCTGTGGACATGGGTGTAAATCCCGGGGGCTGGGGGTATATATACCCCGCACACTTTTTGAGGTGAGAGATGGACTACTGAATCTTCCCCATCACACACACACTTTTTGGTGGTGACAAAAAAAATTGAAGTGGATGATGAATAATTTTGTCAGACTTCCAACGAATAAAATAGATTCAATATCACCCAAAAGGGGGACAATTTAAAAAGCCATAAATATGTTATTCATACATATTGCAGATGAACATTAATATCATGAACTTCGACCTCATATAGGGTCATACTGTGTACCCCCTCCGCTTTGCAAATGTTCACGTCATCCCCGCACCTTTCCCCATCTTCCAACCGCACCCTATCCCTCCATTTCCAGCACAGATTTACGCCACTGCCTGTGAAGTATTACATTAGTGTTTTACCAGTCAGAGATAAATAGTAATTTATTTATAGTGATTGTGCCTCTTGTAATCTCTTGCCACAACTCCAACAAAGAGAGAGCAAAAGTAAAGCGTTAAAACACATTCGAAATTGACACTTAATTATTTTCAATTCATGTTGACATATCATGAAGAATCGAATTCTGGCAAGCCCTATGTGAAATCCCCAACCTATGTACTGGTTTGCACATCATACCATTTACATAAAATCACAAACATATTGTATTTTAGAATCATCTCATTAGAACTTTTCTGAACGTGTTAAATGTAAAAAAAAATGATCCGACAGTTGAGAGCCCAATACTACTAGAAAAGACATAAAAGTACTCTTTGACGCTACAGATGTCACACGATGCCGTCTTTGCAATGTGTTTAGTCATAAATACCATTATTACAGTCAGGATAGAATTCTAACAAGCCACGTTTCTCTTGCTTCATTAAAGCTTTTTGTGATGACATGTATTTATTTTTATCGAACATTACCGCACCTATCTGTAAATCGTTGATGATTGTTGGTGGAAAATATCGATACAGGCCTACACGTGTTCATTTTATTTAAATACAATAAATCATCTTGGCTTCTACCAAAAGAAGAATTTAAATTTTTGTTCATAAACACCTTTTTTATTCATTCCTTGGTTCCGGAATTCAACCGGTACAAATCTTTTGAGACACTTGGTGGCAGCGAAGACAACAGACCCCTTCTGTTGGTGTTACTGTGTGCCATAAATCTCTATTTGTGTGTCTTTTTTAAGTACTAATTTACAAAATAGTGCTAACTGCTCACCTTCGCTGACGCCGTTCTGAGCACAGGAATAAATGAATTGATTCACGTATTTGTAGAACACAATGATATAAGATGGAACGAACTCCAAATGATATAAATCCAACGCACATTTTGAATCTATTCAAATAAGCGCGTTTTCTATCTGTTGCTTAACGCATTAATGTGCACACCAACATAGATTCGTCAAAAAGGTCTTAATTCGTTTACTTATAGAGCCATGGGTATAAAAAACCAACCTAACGTCTTCCTGGCACTAGGGAGAAAAACCGAGTCTGTATAGATGTGGTGCGGTAGTCATTTTGAAGCTTTTGCAGTACGCATTTCCAGCACTGAATGAGCGAACTATGAAACTATAAGAACGCTTATTTCTTATCATCCAACAACGCATTTAGCGTCAATTACAGGACGATGAGTGAAGAAGCCAAGGAAGAAATGTTCAATTTTACAGGTGGGAGCAAAACCCGGATAAATGTTTGGGAGAAACTCAGGTAGGGACTGAAAACTCAATCCACATGGGGACCGAGCCGGATTCAACCCCAGGCCCCAGAGGTGGAAGGCGAGGAAAGAAACACGACGCCAACCTGACTCCAAAATGACTTGGAAAAGTTGTAGTTTGTTTCGTCTTCCTCTCCTTACGATTGTTCTTCACCTTCATTTTTCTGCCAGCAATTTCCTTTTTTTTAAACTGATGAATGGCGCAGTCTTTCTCTTCTTTTATACATTTTTTGTCTTAGACTTAGTGCCATAATGAGTTGCTTCCCATGGCGTACATGCACAACTCAACAACATCCGGAGACGAATTTCATTTGCATCATGAGAATGCTGGATATTACTAGTGCCGTGCGGCAACTGTACGCGTGGTAGTCTCATCGAGTTACGAGCAGTCCCGGGTCCAAGGCCTGTTAGATACAATCCTAGCCAAATCTCGTTGGGCCCCCACCCCGGAACGCCTCTCAATGTTGGGTCTCAGTGCGCGGTCTGCACTCCAGCTCGAGATTAAATCATCGACCGGGGAAAATGGAGGACCTGTAAACAGTACGGAAATTGGCAGGTGTCCAGACAGTTTTGTCCAGGATTGTGGCTGGCTGCCAGACTTGTATAACTAGAAACTCAGTTATGATGACAAATGATTCGGACTCGATCTACACCTGATTTATTTAGAAAGCGATCCTGTCTTGAGCAAGGGATACAGTCAGTGCGCTCTGCGGTTGCCTCTTCCCGATATATTATGGATATCGATGTATCAAAACATGTACCCCCGTCGTCTGTATTTGATAATGCGTTAATACAAGCTTGATACTGTTTGGTAACAGATTATCCTTTCCAAACACAGATTTATGCCTTTCTCGGCAGCGCCTTTTGCTTTTCAGAGCACCCTGGTGTAACCACGCTTAAATAAAGGTTAGAATCCCACAGTACTTTGTTGGGGGTCGTTTCAAAATCATTTTCTTTAATTGATGAAGACTAGTGTCTCTTCTCAAGTCTTGCTAAAAGCATTTCCCATGGGGAAGTACATGGTGTATCCTCAGGCTGTTGTGTATAATAAGAAGAAACATTTTCACAGGCAATGGCTTTGAAACATGCATGTTGCAGTACAAAACATCTAGCTACAACTGGTCAGCTTCATTTATGAATCTTAGGCCTGTGAAGAGAAAAAAACGCGTTTGCGGCTGCCATGGTTACGTTGGAGTGTCGAGACTATATAAGACATTATTTCCAGCTAAATAAATATAAATTGAAGAAAAACTGTGGAAAACTTGGATATTTTACACAGGAAGGTTTTTGCATACATAATGCACACCATCTAGCAAATAGAATTCTTTCAAATGCAATCTAGTGCAACTGTCGACACGCGTCAGATCATCGATTGCAATCTGAATCAACGCGAAACAAACAAGGCCTTCAGGTGTTTATAAGTTGAAGCTCGGAGCATCCCGGCCTCGTCAGACACAAATCAACCTGTGCGCACACAAGGTGAGTTCCCGGCAAAGGGATGGAACATTGAATTGAATAGACAAAGGACGTTCCCATTCCTGTACAAAGTGGATTGACATTTGATTCAGATCCGTAGTGACTCCTTACGAAAGTGTAATTGCATCCAATTCCTCCCTTTTGTCTATAATGCGAAATGATCCTTGTACATACATGTACGTGTACCTAAAAGAGACTACTTAACACTTTTCCACTGCATCTCTATTTAACACCAAATCTATGCCGTGAAT